GAAAAAGTCTTGGGAGGGGGAAGCTTGTTTTCATTAGTTTTGGGGGCTGGAAGCATTTTTCCCTTTAAATTATTTGAATTTGAATTCAATATCAAGTTAAATAAATTAATTGGATATTTAGTTAAATAAATTAATCTACTTGATAATTATTGCCTAAATAGCACTTAGATCACTCACTTTGCATTTATATATACCCACACTTGTTTTTCATATCGTTTACATATGTTAAGTTGTTTAAAACCGACACATTGTTACCATCTATCATGCATCTATCATGCAAATATGAAGATCTTCACTCGAATATCTTCCATGTTAACGCTCAAAATCAATTAGCATGTGAGTGTCATATTTGAACATTCAGATAAAAATTCTCAGTTTTGCATAATAGAAGACACCAATGTGTCAAAAATTAAAACATCATTAGGTATAAAAATGTCATGAAAAATATTTAAAAGTTTTAATATATTTGATTTAGAAATCATATTTACTTAAAAGAAGGATCCAAGTTTTACTATAATTGATTCGCTTTACCGTTTACGATATAGTAAATGACCGTATCATAAACAGTAACTTTAAATACCAAGAAACATATTTGATTTACTGTTTATTCTATATACTGTAGCATCAATCAACCGTATTTCTTTGGATTATGAGAGTGGATTACAAAACGGTAGCATTTCCTCCCCCCTTTGAAATCCCCCTCAAAAAGGAACAAGGAGAACGAACACGAATCCATCAATGTCTCAAGACCAACAACAGGAATCCAAGCCTCCTCCATCTCTCTTCCCTCTAACCCCGACATCTGTAAACTCCCTCAAAATCCCATCTCATTCCATTTCCCCCCTTTCTCTTTTGACCCAAGATTCTCTAACTTTTTGCTTCTTCTTTGTTCATGGGCGAAATTCATGAAGAAAGAGACTTGGTTCCAGTTGGGCGACGTGAGCGGAACCGGCGCAGGGCTCTCGTTTGAGGAATGGGTTTCGCTGATCCGGAGGAGGAGCTTCAACTGCCATCACCCTCCTCAGGCCCTCGGATCTCCGAGGGCCGGGGCAATGCCGCCTTTGTTCCTCCCCGTTAACAGGTATCCTTGCTTCAAAATTTTGAAATTTGACGTTAAATTGAGATGGGTCTTTGTCCAATTGATTGGTTTGGGTGATTTCGGCCTGTTTTGGTTGGCTTGGATTCTAGAAATGGGTGAACATTGTGCGCCTGGAACTTGATGGGTATTTCGTAAGAAAAAAGGAAAAGTTTTGGATGTTTGATGTGTATTATTAGAAGCAAATCATCATTGAGGTAATGAAGCAGAAACAAGCCTCTAAATATGATTTTAATGACTTTGGCAAGTGTTGGTTGGTTTAGCTTGCTGAGATGAGTGCGTTGTGTATTAGGAACATGATGAGTTTTTTCTGCTGTTGGAGATGGAATTATGAGTGTGTGGAATGACCATCAAGTGTCTTACTGTATTCTTTCCTTCTGCAGTGCGGGAGGACCAGATTCTGGCGAGCCAGTAGGCCTAGAGCCTTGTGATCAAGCTGCGGAGTTAAGTTTGTGGGATAGGCTCGGAAATGCTGCTGCATTGGATACTGAGGCCAACGACTTCTCGTGGGATTCTCTCTTGTCTGTGCACCATACAAAACATACCACTAGTGCCGAGAATTCTGAGGATGAAATGAATAAACCCCTAGAGGTTTGTTTCTGTCGGCCTATGCACATGTTTTATGATGTTATTTTTTAATATCGTTTGTGCTGTGCTTAGCAAGATTCATAGGAAAAACCCGTTGTCATCTGAAAGGACTTTGGAGCCATAGTTATATTGTCCTTTTATCTAGGAAGTATTTTAGGTTGTATTGATTCTTAAGAGCTTCTTATGTATTATTATTTATGTTAGATCTATATTATTCTGTTGAGCAGGAATCATGAACTACACGGGCAATTATATGCTTAAAAGCCCAATATATTCAGATTATCGACAGATTGCTTTTCCTTGGATTCTTTTTTGCAGTTTTTCCCCCTTTTGCAGTTTCCCTCCTGTTGTTGGCTTGTGTGTGTGGGGGGGCGGGGGGGGGGTATGTTTGTATGGACTTTTATATGATGAATTTTCTTTTGAATTGGTTAGGCTGTTCGCTTGTATTGGTACAGGTAACCGTGAATTCTGGAGGAGTTGTTTTCTATGCAATGTTCAAGAATCCCATGCAAAATGATGATCTCTCACCTAAGGAAGCTGCTGCTGTTATCAAGTTTGCATCATCTAGGATGGCTACACAATCAGAACGCTTGGGCTATGAATTTGCCAAATTGCTTGGAGTCCGAACACCACTAGTGTGTAATTCTCCTTGTAATTTTTATGTCTCTCTTTTTCACTCTATTGAAATGTAGATTATAGATCGTTTGCATGTTGTTCGGTGAATATTGCAGGCTAGGGTGGTTCATAATTCCAGCTCTGAGTGGCAACAGATCAAAGATGCTGCAGAGAGAGCACGAGAGACAGCAGTTTCTAATGGAGATGAGCTGGGTGCACTGAGCTGTTCAGAGTTATTAGAAGCTCTTGAATTGAGCAGATGTCTTTTTCTAATGACGTAAACACTCCACGAGTCATTTAGTTGATAACATCTCGTAAATAAACATACCATTGAGCTACAACTTTTTTTTCTTTTTCTGCTTTTGTAGTTATGTTCATGGCTCGCCGCTGCTGGAAAATTCTGATGCATTTGATTCAAAAGGAGCTGCAGAAACTACTGCTGCATCCCTTGGTAGAGTCTTAATGTTGGATCTTATACTCAGAAATGAGGACAGGCTCCCTTGTCGCCAGCTCGGTTGGCGAGGCAATACTGCAAACCTTTTATTTGCTGATACAGTGGCCTCTTCCTATATGTATGCAAGGGAGGAAGCTTATGATTCTGCTGTTAGTAGATATAAACCGAGGGTAATCGGAAGCCTTCAGAAAGAACGGAGAGCAATTTCCATTGATGGTAGATTAGGCTCTCATAAATCTGAGCAGGACCCAGATGCAGTCCGAGAGGCAAGTCAGAGATCCAAAAGAAAACAAGCGAGAAAAGAAGTCAAGCACCAAGATTTCCATGTTGTCGCCATTGATTCTGGGGTCCCTAGACGACCTCCAGCTGGAAAAAGAGCAAGAGACCAAGAAAATTATCCAAAGGTAGTTGAGCTCTTATTAAACAACTTAGATTATTGTTCGAGCATATTATATGAAGTATCCGGTGGTAAATTGGGATTTTCAAAACCTGAAGAGTGTGATTCACCGTCAGATTCTTCACCATCAGATTCATGTTCTTTGTCTGATGCTGACATGGCAGCGGTCGTTAATGAGTTTAGAGGAGGTTTTCGCGCAGCTCTCAGAGACCTACAAGGTTTTCATATTTTTCTTCTCACACTTCACCAAAAACTCGATGCCCTGTTAAGACTCTTTCTTTCGTACCTCAACAAGATCAGTGGCGAGTTAGAAAAAGATGATTTGGGCCCTTCAGAGTCACCATCACATTCTGTAGCTTCGATTTTTTCATCTCCTTGTATTGGATGCAAGGAAAGGGATCCAAGTGAAGCAAATGTGGAGTCTAATGATTTTGAGGTGCAAAAAGCTACTAAGAGGTTATCACGTGCAGTTTCTCGAGAGAGCATGGACTTGAGTTCTCCTGTCTCAAGAGAGAGTGGGAGTGGGAGGTTGTTCAAAGGGAATGGAGAGGGTCGTACCCTGCGCATGACAATGAAGCTTCGAGACTATAACAAATTTGTCAGGGTTAGTGGAAAGTAAACCTTTACTCGTCAAATTGAAGATCTTTTGTGTAATATTGCATGAGGTTATCTATGATTATGATTGCATATTTAAAATGGAACAAAATTAGGAAAACAATCTTAAAAATATGCTGAAGAAAGGTTTGATTGAAACTAAAACGAGTTTGTTCTATGTTCCACATTTTGAAACTTTTTAATTTTCTCCTTGGTCCCAAAAGAAAGTATAAAAAAATGCTATTTTCGCGTATGTTTAACTATTCTCCTTGCAGGTAGATTCTGAGTTGAACAAGGAGTTGGAGCAGTGGAATGAATTATTGAGGACAGATATTGTAAAACTTTGCCAAGAAAACAACTTCAATACTGGATTTTTTGAAGGGAATGATGTTAATATTGTTGTTGATGCTTACGAGTTTAAGGTATTGCCAATCTTCGCTACTAGATATAATCGTAAGATAAAACCCCTGTAGTCCTATTGTTGTAGATAGGGCCCCCGACTGATTCTTTTTTATTCTTTTACCTTCAGAGAGAATTTGTTCTTTGACAACTAGACCACCCAAGGGTAGAAGAGTCAAAAAAAAATTCACTCAGTGGTCTACCCACAATTGCACAATAGTATAGGGCTCAATCCGCAGTTAACCCTATATTCTATTCAGATAAATTTTCACAGTTGTTATTACTCTTTTGCAGGTTCGGCTTGAGCATATCCTTGAAAGGATAGGATTGATCTCAGATGCTGCGAGTACTGAGAGGCCTTCACCCATAACAGAGTATCTCTATATCGGCGGAGCTCTAGCTGCAAGGTCCATGTACACTCTTCAGCATCTTGGCATCACACATGTATTGTGTCTGTGTTCTACTGAAATTGGACAATCAGAGTCTCAATATCCAGATCTCTTTGAATACAGGAATTTCTCGGTAAGTAACTGCTTCATGTCTCATCCTGACGAAAGTAGATTGCGCAATTTTCTTGCAGAAACTAAAGCCATGAATTCTACCTCAAATTGCTCAAATGTGCTCTCCTTTGGAAGTTATGGTCACTTTTGATCCTGTGACAAGTTTAGCATAAGTCAACATCCTTTGGCTTTGGCTTCATACTTTAATTTAGAGACAAACATCTAGAGATAATTTGGACAACTACTTAGAGAAATGGCAGCTTGATTCATGGACTTGCTGCCTTTGAGAGATTTCTAATATGTTGTTTTCTTAACTCAAAACATCTTCTGCATAGAAATCTTTGAGCATTTTTGGATGTTATCTACAAATTGCTCACATCCGGAACCATACTTTTATTAAACCCAATTCCCTGTCTCCAGATAGATGATAACGAGAATGAAGATATAAGCAGCCTATTTGACGAGGCTTCTGATTGCATCGACTATGTCGAGTACTTGGGAGGAAAAATACTGGTACACTGCTTTGAAGGGAAAAGCCGAAGCGCAACAGTTATTCTTGCTTACTTGATGCTAAGAAAGTATGCAATTTCACTTGATTTCTACCTTGATCTCGAGGCTTAATTTCAGAAACCCTCCTTAACCTCCTAACTATTTTAATTCCACAAAACCCCCTGAACGTTGGTTTTACAAACAACCCCCCTGAACTTCTTTTATTCCACTAAACCCCTTGAAGAATTTTCACTTTAACTCCGAAGTAACACCTTCAAGTCTAACATGTCACGTGCCTCCGTGTGACCAAAAAGATGAAACTACCCCTCAGCCCTAAAAAAATTCGCTCTTTCACCCTTTATATTATTTCAATTAATTTTTTATGGCTGAGGAGTATTTTCACCTTTTTCGGTCACATGCTCAGCATATGGCATGTTGGACTTGTAGGTGTTACAT